GAGAGAGAGAGAGAGAGAGAGAGAGAGAGAGAGAGAGAGAGAGAGAGAGAGAGAGAGAGAGAGAGAGTTTTCCATCGCTAGGATAAGCAACGCACCGGCCAAAAGGTAAGTCTCCAACCCTCAACTCGCCTCACAGTACTTCTATCGATTGGTTAAGCAACGCAATGGGCAACAGGTAAGTCTCCAACCCCGTGGCTCGCTGCACGCTACATGAATCGATAGATGAGCAAAATCGAATGAATCTTTCCCTAGAACATCAAAATATACACTACTACACGTGTGTGTGTGTGTGTGTTCATTCCACAACTTATTTATTTATTATTATTATCTTATTTTATCTTATTTGTGTGTGTATGTGTGTGTGTGTGAGAGAGAGAGAGAGAGAGATTCCCATCGATAGAATGAGCAACTCACCAGCCAACAGGTAAGTCTCCTACCTCGCAACTGGCCTCATGTTACTTCCATCGATAGGATGAGCAAAATCAAATGAAACTTCCGCTAGAACATCGAAATATACACTACTACACGCGTGCGCGCATACGTGTGTGTGTGTGTGTGTGTGTGTGAGAGAGAGAGAGAGAGAGAGAGAGAGAGAGAGAGAGAGAGAGAGAGAGAGAACGATCAACAGGAGAGGGGCATAGCGTACCCAGCTGGAAAGGCACTGGCCATCGAGAGGAGAGCAAGTGCTAGCAGAGGCGGGGACGTGGCAGGCCGCCTATCATTGTCACCAAGAAGAGAGCGGCATAGCAAGCACTGCGAACGTGGTCAAGTGGCACGATCGACAGAAGAGTGGCATAGCATAGTCAGCTGGCAGCACGATCGAGAGGAAAGTGGCACAGCGTAGGAAAGTAGTGTATATTTCCATATTCTAGCGGAAGGTTCATTCGATTTTGCTCATTATATCGATAGTCGCAGGCTTGGAGACTTACCTGTTGGTCAATGCAGTGGCGTAAGGACGGGGGAGGGAAGAGAAAGCTAGGAAGATTTTCATGACCGGCCGGTCACCCGGGCATGATGCCCAATTAGCACGGTCATGGCAAAAAAAAAAAAAAAGGAAAAAAAAAAAAAAAAAAAAAAGGCGGTGGTTTTTTTCTGCGCTCTCCGAGATGAGCCCAAATCCGGGCTCTTTTCTTTTTTTAGTGTTGGCTGTCAAGGGGGTGAAAGGGGAGTGCAAATGAATTTTAAAGGGGCTAAAGGGGTTTAAAGGGGGGTGCCTTAGTGTGATATGGTTATTTTCTTTTTTATCTCTAGTTCTGTGAGGAATTCTGATGTGACCCTCAGCCAAAAGTTGTTTGTATTGCAATTCTACACAACTTTTTTTTTTTCAGATATTTTTGGATTTGATTTTTTTTTTTTTTTTTTTTTTTTTCCGCTGAGGCTGCCTGGGATCATGCCCGGGGGTCATGCCCGGCCGGTCACCCGGTCGCCAATCCGGGCGTGACATCGGGACGCGGGCGCCCGGGATATCTCCCTAGAGAGAAAGATTATTATGCTGCTTCTCCAGCATGTGAAACCCGGCATGAGATGGAGGGGAAGAAAAGTTGTGACGCGGGCGAGAGAGTGAGAGAGAGTCACACTGTCAATCATGTATACTCCCCATGCCACGGTCTAGCTGCGACGCGTTTAGTTATAGAAAGAAGATGCACACATGCAGCCATAGTTCTCCACTAGTCTACTAGCTTTAAACTTCTGCAGTCTAACAGTTCTTCCATAGGGAACTTGTGAATCATTACCTTCCTATCCCAATCGAATTGAGGTTGAGCAACCTCGAGGTAGTACATGCCTAACAGCATATCAAACGGCAGCTCTTCACTAACAAGGAATGAGATCTTGTGTCTTCATTCCCCTCCATAGGAGAAGGTTCAGACTGTGTCCTTGACATAATCTTGGACAACCATACTCTGCTTGTTGGCTAGCGTAGATGCTACAAATCTGCTTAACCGCTGCACTTGGTCCCCTAAGCTCAGTCTATCCACACAAGCGCGAGTGACGAAGTTCCGTGTAGAGCCTATATCTGCAAAGGCGCCCACTTTGTGGCCACCTACATCAACCTCTACCACGACATGTTCACCCTTTGCACCTTTTGCTGATCATCGCCCAAGAGTCTCTGGGTCCTTCCCTGACCACTCAGTTTGTAACTCCTCTAAGGACTTGGACACATCTCTCGTCTATGTGTCTGCGGGGCGATAATAGGGTCAATAGCCTTGGCCAACGCCTGAAGTGGGGAAGGCAACCTTACCACTTCAGCACGGGTAAGAGCGGCTAAAACTCCTACTGACCTGAGCTGTTTCCCTGAGAAGTGCTCGCAGAAGCACCACCAGGGTTCGAAGACAGGCCTATCACCGTTGGACAGGCTACCTTCGTTGCAACCTTTTTGCCTCGACACATTCTAGACGTATGGCCGTAGTTGCCACAGTGAAGACACGTGCCCCTAGCTACTCGGTCCCTCCACACCTCGTAATCTAAACCAAGCTTTACCCATGCGGGTGTTCCTTGGTCACCTTGACCCTTCGACTGGCCTACCTTCTGTTTCCTAGTCCCTCGTAGACTTTTCTTTGATGGGCGCTACGACTCCCGCATCTGAAGTCTAACTAGCGCCATCCTGCTTTGTATCTTACCCATAGTCGTCAATCTCAGTTGCCTGACCATCGTGCTTGACAAACATAAGATTTTCTTTCTTCCCCCAATTTTGGGTTCTTCC